GGAGGCAGTGATAACAGTACTGTCCCAGGTGTGTAGGCATGCAGGCAGGGTGCTAGGTAGGATGAATACCTGACCATTAACCCACCTGACCATTAATCCAATTAACCGACCGTTAACCCAACTGATCATTAACCCAACCGGCCGTTAACCCAACCGGCCGTTAACCCAACCGGCCGTTAACCCAACCGGCCGTTAACCCAACCGACCGTTAACCCAACCGACCGTTAACCCAACCGACCGTTAACCCAACCGACCGTTAACCCAACCGACCGTTAACCCAACCGGGCCGTTAACGCCATTCAACCGGCCGGTTGGGTTAATGGGCCCCAAACGGTCGGTAACCGGCATGTTTATGCCATAGGGCCTATGCTTGCCACCCCGACCCCTGCACACACGGTTCGACTCACCAGCACCGGAGGCCTGGCGAGCTGTACTCCGCCCAGCGGCAGCAGTAGCAGCCCAAGGCCTGACCTCCGGTGCCGGGAGGTCCCCGTCGTCAGTGATGATGGGCGCGGGATCCTGCACAGCGGTGGAAGCACGCAGAAGCACGCGGGTTTGGGTTTGAGAACGAAGTTTAGCAAGTTGACGGGCCTCAACACCAAGCGTGTGCTGCACAAGTTTTGCATATTCCTGAAAAGGTTTACCGTCACGGTCGGTCGCACATTCTCCTGAAAACTCAGCGGAAAGGCCGTGGATAAACCAGGAAATCCGGTCAACCTCCCTTAAGTCAGGAATTGGTGCTATAAGTACCTCGAAACGACTATGGTACGCGGCTACCGTTTCGTTCGCCCGCATCTGATGCTGCCCTGCAGCAAGTTTTCCTAGCACCTCCAGTTCGCGTGTTTGGATCTGCGGGGCAAAACGAATTAACAGTACCTCCAAAAGTCGCTCTGAAGTATATTGCAACTGCGCATTAGTCCAGTCATCATGCCAGGTTTTCGCGGCGTCTTCAAGAGCATTAGCTAAAAACAGGCAACGTATACTGTCATGGTTTCCGCCTCCGCACGAAATCAAAATATTTCCGGACATCATGGATGAAGGCGCGGACACGTGGCGTATCGTGGTGCAACTTCCCGCGATAAGTCGCTAAGCTTAATATCAGCAGAGATACTAAGCCTAGGTACCGGAATATTTATCTTAATCACCTCATCACTAACCCCAGCGAGCAAATCGCGCTCGGTAGCATTGTTGTTCCTTACATCACCGGCGGTCGTCCCGGTGGCGCGACCCGCCATGTGTTCCACTGCAGGAATCAGAACAGCAGATGAGGGATTATTTATATTTATCAATTGAATATTGTTATTCAGGGCAATAGGGGGCGGCGGGACAGTTCCATTGGTCATATCGATAGCGGAGGGCAATCCCCAACGACTTCGCCTAGTCTGCTCCATTCTGACTATCCTGACCCGGATTAAGCAGACCGCGTACCCAGGTAAAGAGAACTGTTAATTTTTCTGAATGTCTGTTGTAGCACCGAACGGGTGCTAAAGAGCTCTTGACAGAGCCTTCGGCAAAGGGCAGGGACCGCCAAAGGAACCGGCGGTTCGGAACCTGCAGCAGCTTTAACGCTAGTAACCCAAAATCCTAGAAAACGTTAGCGAAAGTTTTTGCTAAAATAGTTACAGACCGGCGGCTGCCACTTCGCGGACGGCCTCTCCGAGGGTGTCCACTATTGTAGCCAGAGGTCCTGCACCGGCAGAAATCGGGATCTTGATAGCAAAAGTAGGATCTTAAAAACTTCAGGAATGAGAGAGGCCCCGGGAGGAACCGTCTCGATACCAGACTTGTTATATCTAACCAAACCACGACTGGATGGTGGCGTCGGAAGACACCGATTGGAAGAGTTTCGTCCGCTTAAATAGCGGGGGATGCATCCATCCCATGAATCGTACAGCCAGTTCCGAAATGGCGCGGTCCAGTCCCCGAATGGCGTACCGTTGATCCATGCTTCCAATCAATGACGGGGCTCCACGAGCCAGGGACCAGCGTCCCAGTCGTAGCCTGTGCTACGACCCCCGCCCATACTTCTGCAAGTATGGACTTCCGCCTGAGGTGGCGTTTACTTGTAGGCCAACCAAATTTAAGAAGCGGAATACAACAGTTTCGCTGTCAGCTGCTGGGGGTGCTGCAGTTGACGCCCTCAGATGCAGCACAACCTCCTTGTCCAACGCGTTGAAGAACATGCAGGGCTCCATGTGCACCTTGCTGTGCACCCAACGGCCTAGTTGGCCCCAGATACTCTCCGGCGGGAACATGGATGCCGCAAAAAGGGGCCCTAGGGAGGCAGGAGTGCCAGGAGTGCAGTACAGTGTGTGCGGTGTCCCACATCTTGGCGCACACAGTACATCACATGTCTCACAGTGCATTGAACATGGCATGGCCTACACAATGCGGCACATTCCTTACCGATGTTCTTTATGGAATCCACCAGGTGCAACAGGTTGTGCAGCTTTATGTCCATGTCATTCACGGACAGACGAAGCTCGACTAGGCATACAACCTCCACCACGCGCTGCTCAAGGGTGTCCACCTCACCCCTGTGCAAGCAGCATGACAAACAGGAAACGAAAGCAGACAGAGGAGACTAAGCATGGGTCTGGTGGATCGCTGTATGCACACCACATCACCACATCAGATCATACGGAACTGGATCTGGGCGCTGGGTCCGATTTCCTTTCTCTTGATATGATGAGACATATTCGTTGGTGTAATTAGCGAGTTTATAGACACACTGGGCCTGGGGCCATGGGCGGGCTCTACAGCCCTGCAAGGCTTGTGTGGGATGCTGTATAGTACATTGTGCACATTGTTATAGAGGTAATATACTATGCAGCATTTCAGAAGGGATTCTGGAGTCCATATGGCATATAATTGTCACTTTTTAGAAATGAACAAAACATGAACACATAGCCAGCATATGACCATTGGGAACATAACTGAATTTACATATATGAGTGGCAATTCATGATCAGTCATGCTGCACAAGGAGCATGACAACTGTCATGACTCTGCCTCATGACCGGTAACATGACCGGTCATGAGGCCTCATGAGTGGTCATGAGGCAAAATGACCAGATCTATGACAGGAAACCCCCCGCATGACCACATCCATGACCAAGTCGTTCCCCGAGTGCAGAGGTAATATACTATGCAAATTTGTCGTCGCGCATCATATCGCTACGGAGCTGAGTCGAAAGTCCGTCCACAAACAGGCCGAACCTTTTCTCCTGTCCCGGCGGTGGTGTGATGCACTTGTCCCGCGCGGAGGAAGGGTTGATGTCACGGTACGGGTCACAAGGTGGCGGGGTGCCTGCTGAATCAGTCATCCTTCAATTCGGGAAAATTCTTTATTATTGCAAGGACAACCAGGGGGGGAAGCTGATTTAGGAGCGTTCTTGCTCGCCATCAAAATCCGTTCTTGCTCGCCATCTTGATTACGATGAATGAAGTTGAATGCATGCAGTTATTGTAGCGTTTGGTATTGACACTACTGCAATCTTGGGTTCAACTCCCGGGGAGACCCCCGGATTAGTCGGGAGCGCGAGATTATGGCTAGTTGCGGAGATGTGGAGTTGAGATTACGCTGGTTTGGTGGCGATTGCCGAACCCTCCGTCTCTTCGGATGTTCGGGTGAATGGATGAGGAGGGCTGGATCCGCCGCCTTGGGCTTGCAGATCGTATGGCGAAGTTCAGTGTGGTAGTGGTGGATGGTGCTATAAGGTGATAAATGGTAGAACTGACAATGTAATAAAGCGGCCCAGAAGCCTCCCACTCTGTAACATTACATTACATTACATTACATTACATTACATTACATTACATTATAGCCAGTTCACATGCTACGTTACGTTAAGACTTTTTGGGAAAAGTGGTCGGTTCGGACATGGTAACGGTACGTTACCGGTAAAGTGGACGAAAAGTCTAAAGTGACCCGGGGGGGGGGGTGAATTTCGACCCCTCGTACCGTTACCTGAATTGCGTCGCCAATTTCGCGAGTTATAACAAACAGCCAAGCCCAATCGCTTATAAAGACCACATATTTGACAAATTGTGCGCGCTTTGCACTCCGACCGAATTTCTAGTCACACCGCTGCAGTTTATTTTGGAAAATGAACAAGGACAACGCCGCTCGTGTTGCTCGCCCGCGCACGACCCCTTACATAGCCAATATGTAACCCATTGTAGTATCAGGGCTGAAGCCATCCGCGAAATGGCAAGTCGGCTGCACTTCCGGCGGCATGGGCCGCGCCGCGTCGGCCCAAACGCGCAAGCACTGCCATTGAGAATTGAACATATCCTCAAGGTTGTCAAAAATTACATCCATAGCGGCCGCTAGGGCAAACGCCATCGCGGCTCGCGCGGGATGCAGTGCCATTGCTGTAGGCAGGGCTGCCAATAACCCGTCAATTATATATTGCGATTCTAAGGGGATGTGCTGAAGTTTTGGCCATTGAAAGACATAAAATGGAGATGGTTTACACAGCTCGCGCCAACGAACACAACGTCGTCGTAATGTCCCATGTGAACTGGGTGACTTTTTCAGGCCCACTTTTCCAAAAAAGTTTTCGC